CTGAGGCTGTGGCTGGTGGGCGGCAGAGGCTGAGGCTGAGGCTGTGGGCTGGGCTGGGCTGGGCTGAGGCTGGCTGGGCTAGAGGCTGAGGCTGAGGCTGTGGCTGGTGGTGAGGGCGGCAGAGGCTGAGGCTGAGTGGCTGGTGGTGAGGGCGGCAGAGGCTGAGGCTGAGGCTGAGGCTGGGGCGGCAGAGGCTGAGGCTGAGGCTGGAGTTTGAATGGAATGCGCTTTGCGGGGGACAATATATCTTGTTAAATTGTCAATATTGACCACACTTTTTCCTTTTTTTAGTGTCTTCAATTGTAATACTTTTGCCATCCACAGCTGTGAAAGGACATATTTCATTGAGGCATAAATTCATCTTCAAAACATGTGATTTAAGGAGATATTGACTTGAGTTAATTACCCATAATAGTGAATGGACCCAAGAGATCGCTCTCCAGTTTCCCCCCTTTCCTCTGTAGGGCCTTGTTGTTTTTTTGAAGAACAAGGTCCCCAACCTGCAAATTTTCCTCTATGCCTGTCTCCATCCGTTTCTTAATTATTTTATTTTGGCTTTTAGCCACATTTGTTTTTACCGTGCTATAGATGTTCTTTTGTATTTTCAGGCCCTCATGTAATTCCTCTTTCAGCATCACTGATGTGACCCTGTCCTCATTTACCTGAAAGGAAATACACAAATGAACAATACATTTTATACAGTGGATATGTACAGTCTATTTTTATACACTGACCTCATATTTTTCAGGTATTTCCGACGGGTATCTTGCCTCACGCCCAAACATCAAGTAATAAGGGCTATGGTTTGTGGTGAGCTGTTTTTTGGTACGCAGTGCAAACATTGTGGCCTGCAATGCCTGGTCCCACGTGTCAGGATGCTCACTCACCATTTTGTTGAGGGATCTGACATACATTCACAAATCATCACAAAACTTAATATACTGTGTAACTCTTATGAGATTAAACTTGCCTTTGAATGGTCCCATTCAGTTTTTCTACCAGCCCATTGGTCTGAGGGTGGTAGGGGGAGGCCAGGCTGCGTTTGATTCCCAGCTTGGCGCACAGCTGAGAGTTCAGCTAATGGAGCACAAACAGCTGTAACAGCTGTTCTGACATAATGGACAATTGTATAATTGCATCTTACCTTGTTTCTAAATTCTGATCCTTGGTCAGTAAGGAGCCTCTTTGGAGCACCAAATCTATAAAAGAAATCCAAAATGCACTCCTGCACCTCCACTGCAGTTTTGGTTTTAAGAGGGTATGCCTCTGCCCACTTGGTAAAATAGTCCACCATTACACAGATGTAATGGTGGCCATTTTTTGTTGGATGTAGTTTCCCAACCAGATCCATTCCCACAAGCTCCAGTGGTTCAGATACCTATTACAGAACATAAAGTTGAGCAATTCAGTGAAATCCTCTATGCGAAATGTACTACATTTTAAGCACTTACCTCAATGGGGATGTACATTGTTTTGTCTTTCAGATTAGATCTTTTCTTCTGGCACTGGGGGCATTCATTGATCTGGAATTAAAGAGACATATTGTGTTAGACTGTATTCAGACTTTTATATGAATCAATGTAATCAAGAATCAGCTTACCCATTTCTGAATGTCAGCTTGCATTCCAGGCCAGTAATACCTCAAAATGATGGCACTGTGGGTCTTTTCCCTCCCACAGTGTCCACCAATTTGGCTAGTGTGAAATTCTTCAAAAACTCCACTTGCCTCCTCAGCGGTCAGGACCACTTTGGCCCAGTGAAACTGGAAGGAGCGCTTCCGTTGGCACTTGTAATACAGCTGCCCATCTGGTAGACACGTTCCCAACATGCATGGCAATAAGTGTGCACATTCATGTAAAATTCTTGAACAATTGCTGTGTGCTCACCCTTCACCATGTACGATTCTGCCCTCCTTTTGATTATGCCCCTCTGCGTACCATCGGCATCACTAGGGAACCTTTGGTGTACCAAATACTGGACCAGCTCCTGGACAATTTTGGGGTCCATAGTGTCCAACTCACCCTAAATTTCCCTACAACTGAAACTACACTTCACTAACCTAATATAAACTAACTGTCCTAACTGAAATTTATCCCTAACTCTAAAATTAAACTATGCCTCTCTAAACTGTGAACGTATTCTATACCCTGTACTGAACTCAAATATTCTCTATAACTGTACTCTGTATTAAACTCAAAAACTCTCTATAACTGTACTCTGTATTAAACTCAAAAATTCTCTATAACTGTACTCTGTATTAAACTCAAAAATTCTCTATAACTGTACTCTGTATTAAACTCAAATATTCTCTAACTGTACTCTGTATTAAACTCAAATATTCTCTAGAACTGTACTCTGTATAACCTAACTCAAATCTTCACTATAATATAACTCAAATCTCCACTACATCTATATCTGTATATCTCAACTCAAAATCTCACTGTGAACTAAAAATGTCTGACTAAACTCTCCCAATGTCTAAACTGAAATACTAAACTATCCTATAACTATGTCTGTGTCACTGTTCTATATATAATTTACCTTTACCTGACTTTTATTCCTACCTGCATGCATACTCCAAAGACTGACAAAAGGATGCCACCAGTTTATATAGGTTACTGATTAGTTGTTGCACCTGTTAGCAGGCCTTGCCCGTCTCACAGGAGGACGGCATTCTTACAGGATGTTCAATGACATGGGAAGGATACTCCACTGTATGAGGCAACAGTGGCTCAGTAGTTAGAGCAGTGGCCCTCTCAACTCAAAAATCAAAGGATTCATTCTTGCTTGTGATAATCCACAATCTGGTGCTCTGTCCTTAGGCATGACACTTCACCCACCGAACCCAGTATGAAAGTGGTGTGTGTGATTGGTGTTGCAGATTTGTCAGTCAGCCCCATACTATTGCAGCTATGGCAATTTCAGGACAATTGGCTCTACAGCCCGTTTTCAAGAGGCATACAAGCCTCTAAACTACACTCTAAACTCTATACAGTTTATGTGTTCATTGTGTAGTGGTTTTCAGTGATGTTGATGTGATGTTGATGCTCTAACATCCTTGTCTGTCTCTGGTTAGATGAATGTATATTCTGTACCACAAAGCATAATAGGCAAACACGTTCACATTTTTTTTTTTTTCTATAAAGACCGATTACACATGTGCATTAGGGATGACAAATAGTGAGCGTGTAAAAGACTGAAGGCCTATATGGTAGTTACTTCTTTTCATGGTACACGCCCACCACATTTACAGTGGCGTGGTCATGCCCCCCACCTGTAGTCAGAAAATTTCACTTACGTGTTGTGCTCACATTAAGATGTTCCCTAATACTGGACAGTAGATGATTGTGGCCAGAATAATGCCGACAGTTTCCACGGCATGAAATGACTTGAATTTATATATATTGGCCGAGCCAATACAACTTATGACACACGACTACATAAATAACAAAATAAATGTGTGCATTTTTATGAGCAGATTTGGGTTGCTAATAAGGGACTACATTATCACATAGAGCGTCTACAACCGCAGCGCAACAACAACCAGATCAAGTGGTTAAGGCACGTGCACGCGCATCTGCAGCCAAGTGGACACGCCCACCACATCTGGATCTGGAAGCAGGAGATGTAGTCTACCTGTAGTCTACAAACAAGATGTTTTATATCTGGTTTGATCCTAGTTTAGACCTAGTTTAGACCCATATTAAGGCAGCAAATTGTGTGAAATGTCACATTGCATACATGTACATATAATATAGGCCTATCTCTACACACGCAGACCCTTGAGAGTAGTAACAGGACTGGCAACAGTTTATCTTTGGGTATTTTTATCGGCATATCGGCAGGTTTGCGACTTGAAAGAGAGCACAAGAACCATATTAGTTGATGACATGAAGCGTCTGCAGCCGCAGCGCAGCGACAACCAGATCAAGTTGTTAAGGTGCACGCCCACCGCATCTACAGCCGAGTGGACACGCCCACCACATCTGGATCTGGAAGCAGGAGATGTAGTCTACCTGTTGTGTTCACAGCGAGATGTTGTGTAAGATTTCACTCTGGGTGATTGTGTCAAAATGATGCAATGAGTCAATCCCTATTTTGGTAGCAAATTGTGTGAACTACATCATTGTACACATTATATAAGTCTGTACATGTCTACAACACAACATTCATGACATGACAGTGAAGACACGGACAGCATTTTGTGCTTGACCATTTGTTTTGTTACACGACATAGCGATATGGCACCTGTTATAGGAGCGTCTGGAGCAGCGACCAGATCAAGTGGTTGAGCGCGTTCATGCGCTGCAGTAAAGAGCAAAGTTTGTCATTTCAGACACCAGGTCTTGATGGAAACATGCGCGGGATACATTTGGATTAATTTTCAATGGGGAAGTAATACGCCACGATAAAGAAGGTTTAACGCGACAATACAACTCCGACAGTTTTGTGTCTCTATGGGAGTGAATGGAAGCGAGAGGACACGCCCCCATCCTTCCAGATGTGGCTCCGCCTTTACCAGTTAAGATGCCTGAACCGGGAGCCGAGTGCACAAGATGGTTGTAAAATGAGTCTTAATCCCACTTCCCACTTAAAACTCAGGTCAAACTTTTACACCCAGAAACGAGCGGGCAAAGGCGGATAGAGCAGCGAGCGACTGCCCTGGCCCCGGCGGCGGTCGCGAGAGCCCCGGCCCGGCAGCGACTGTCCCGAGTCCCGGCAGCGACAGTCCCGGGTCCCAGCGGCGGGTCTGTCAGGTCGGGTCTTTGACTCTGTTCTCGCCATTTCCTGTGTGGAGCTTTAGGCTAAAGTAGCAGCTGCCACTAATCGTGAAGCAGCTACGAGTTGACGCAGCAGGTTGATGTGAGTGACAGAACAGTTGTCCAATCACACTCCACTAAATAAACAGAGACTGTGATATCGTAAAGTTTGTGTCCTCAGCCCGAAGTGAAATGCGCCAATCAAAATCATTTTTAAATAGTAATAATAACGGCCTGTGCTGGGGGGCCGCCGACACCGTATTAAAGGAACACTAACTTTTAGGGATAAAAGCAAAACATCTGTATCTCTATGAAGAATGTTCCAAAGTATGGTGTGAACTTTTGACTTCCATGGAATCATGGGGGATTTAACGCTACTAAAGGGTAACAGTGTGTAATTGAAAACAAACATCTATCCTTTGAATTTTTAAATGCTCAAAGGCAAGCCAGGCTAGCTCTAGACAGTTTACTGTTGTGTCAAGACACATTGCCTGTGTCTCGGCTTGGCCTTGGGGTCCCACCGGAGGAGCTGGAGGAAGTGTCTGGAAGTCCCTGCTTAGACTGCTGTCCCTGTGACCTGGCCCCTGATAAGAGGAAGAAAGTGAATGGAAGTGTATAATGTGTTTTTAGGTGTGTATCACAATGCGCAGATGTTATTGAGGTTGTAGTAATGAAGATACTTGATTTTTAAGTAAAGGTACTGCTTAATGATCATTTAGGCCAATTCAGTAGGATCCCTGGGGGCTAACAATATTTGGAGTGGAATGTGTCAAATTTCTTAACAAAATATTGCCTTTACCATAAGATGAAGGGAAAATACCACAGAACATAAAGAGATCGTATATCTGCTTTAATTGTGTGTAATTCATACTTCACATCATAGAAGCTTACTGGTTTTAAAGAGAAAGGACATTAAAAATAGCACTTAATTACACAATGTGGACAGAAATGTAAAGATGTCACACAGCTATGTAAAATAAATAACAAAAATCCATATCTTCTTCCTTTACAAATATACAATACAACATACGCACGATACTAAACACACCTTATATTTAAGTTTAATTTTGTTCTTTGTCATCATCTTTAGCGTCACTTTTAACATCCTCTATTTCAGTAGTCGTTTCCATGACGACTTCTGTCTCAACACTTGGCGCCATCATGTCTTCTTCATTCGCTTGTGAGTCCGATTCTGAAGCTAAAATTGTCTGTGATGCTGCTACCTCCAGGACAGACGGCGTACTAATAGTTTGGCTTTCGGAAACTATCGCTAGCGCACCATCCGGAACACTAACAGTGGGTATAGTTGTAGTAGATATAGACTGCGCTACGTTAGCCGCTATCGAAAAGGGGACTGTAATAGCTGAATTGTCCAAAGATAGCAAGCTAGCTCCAGTGCTGTCAGTAGTTACGATAGGCTGGAGTTTTGTTCCTGCTGGTATTTCTGTGTGGATGACAGTGATGCCACCTAGCGCAGCATGGCTAACCAACGCTATAGCACTGTGGCTAGCCCAATCCGATGGCACAGTAACAGTTGTTGTCTCTGTAGTGTCAGATTTGGTGGGGGTTTTAGCGTCTTCGTCCTCGTCTTTGTTAGTATTTCTTGTTCTTTTTGTCCACAGCTTTTGGGGACTTGTTTTTGAGTTCAGCTGGAGGTTTTTTGTCTTCAATATTTCCATCCAGTACGACCAAAAACGAGGTCCACGGAGCGTCAGAAGAATGAGTCTGAAAAAAGAAGAACATTTTAAATTATTATGCATTTTGTTATTATTTCACATCTACTTTTTAATAATAGGACATGCAGAAGAAAACCTTCAGGCACAGATCTCTATTAGCTGTTGTCTATTAATTTCTTTATCAGTCTTGGTTTTATAATTTTTACCCTTTTTACACTGGGTTCCAGTTCATTTTAGAATTGATTTTAAGATTGTATAACTTTGAATGGCTTCACAGCATGTTTGACCACATCCAAAATTACTACCCTCTAAATACCAGCCCTTGGATATATTGGATATGACTTCAAAACACATGATCAAGCTTTACATTTCTCATGGACAATTCTCATCACACTAATTTCATCTGTTATAATTTCAGTGTTTCGCATACATAGACCATAGATCTATGGTGCAGATCTATGGTCCCCCACTATATGGAGTTAATATGATTAACTAAGATTCAGGAGCAGGACCATGCCGACCGCCCTCTCCTCACCTGCGAACCACAGCTCACTTCGACCACGCCTCTAATTTCCCGGAAACCTATATGTAGCAGCATTTCCCATCATCCCAGTTGGTCTCAGCTAAACTCGACCCTACCCTCCCACCCCTATCTTGTTTGTCTTTCAGCCATAAGACGCCTACGAGGGGGGTCCCGTTCCGGCTGGGCCAATTGTAGATTGAGACGGAGCCCCCACCCAGAGTCTCAACCCAGCCATCTCCGCCCCTCGTACATCACCAATAAACTTCTTTCGCACTATGTCGTTCTTGGTGTGGTCCTTACTAGTGAAAAATGGGCTAGAATCCAAGGAGGTCCCTTATGATTGGGCCCTTGAGTTATTTTTCAGAAAGCCACGCAAAATGAGATGTTCTGATAGGACATGCATATGCACCAAACAGACTAATGCTGTTTCATTATTTCATTTAGTCGCCTTGTTGTACCTTTAGTAGTTTCTTATGTCTAATTATAGTATTTTATTTATGTTATTTGTATTATTATATAATTGTCACATTATACTATTTATTTTGTTTTACCAAAAAAAAGTTAAATACAAGAACAAGTTCATTTTGGTTGAGCTATGGCTTGAGTTAAGTATATGATTACAATAAATTTAGATTTTTTTTTAACCTTGAGTGTCCTTTTTATTGTTCTATGTTATATAGGTACAAAAAAACCCCAAAAACTATTCAATTGAGAGCAATCTTGGAGCACAGTAGTAGCATATCAGTAGTCTTGTTTACCGTGGTGTGGCGGCGCAGGGTGGACTTGTCAGTGAAGGTTCGGTGACAGTGGTTACACATAAAGGGCTTCTCTCCGGTGTGGATCCTCTGGTGTCTCTGCAAAGCGTTCAGCTGAGTGAACTGCTTCTCACAGAACTTGCAGCTGTACGGACGGTCTCCTATGTACACAACAACAGTGCCTACTGTTAGCGTCACACCCTCGGGGAATGTTGAGGAGTATGGATTGTGAGAACACTAGCATTATACCAATATTGTCTGTACACCAATACCAGCTTCTTCTTTTATGTACCTGTGTGTATTTTCAAATGCTGGTTGAGGGAGTTCCTCTGAGAGAAGCCCCGCCCACAGTGCTCACACTTAAACGGCTTGGCCCCGGTGTGGATGTTCCAATGGTGCCTCAAATATTCACGAGACGAAAAACTTTTACCGCACGCTTCACACATAAAAGGCTTCTCTCCTGGTAAAAGAAGCGGAAAAAGAAGAAAACAAATATAATCATCTGTAATGTAAAACGTTGCTATGGTAATCTAAAATATGCAGTATATAATGTAGATGACCTGTGTGAGAGCGGATGTGATTGGACAACATCTGTTTCTGGGTAAATCGTGCGGGACACACAGTACAGGCATACGGCTTCTCTCCTGTATGAGTCCTGCACAGAAAGAAATTATTATTATTAGTTACAAAAAGCAATCTCCAGTTTAATATATTAATATACATTTTATAATTTGTTAAGTCACAGATTTATTTTATGCACGGATCTAACAGCTACTGGTATCAAAACTCTTCCAAATATCAGTTCAGTTGCTATCAAACTTGAACCCATACATTGACCATAGACTGTATATATATAAATATGTATATGTAAATCCAAATAAGAAATGAGCATGGGGGCACTTCTTGCTTCATTGGCTCTGGCTCTAATTCACTTAAAATTGAAAAATTGTTACTCCTCTTTCTGTTGCAGCGAGCCTTGTCTGCTACAGTCAACCTCGTCACTGTGATCTTCAAATATTCATATTAAACCTCTCTACATGATCCTGGTATATTTATTTTGCTATTTTGTATGTAAATAAATAACTATTGCTGAGTGCGATGGGTTACACTCCCTTTATACAGTTTAGGATATTGATGTAATAAGACTAGTCGTACGAATGTGAATGTGTATCACAAAAATTGAAGTTACTTGAGGGTTAAATAAGAGCTACATAACACAAATATAAGGGCTGCGCTTAGAGAAAAAAATATCACATCTCCAATTAATATGTGTAAAACTTACTAACCCTGTAGTTTAGACCTCTATAAACATGTTCTGAAATGCATGGGATTCTTGTATTATTTTAAATTGTATTGCTTTACCTGTGATGCATATTGAGGGTGGTCTTCTGGGTGAATTTGGCGTTACACACAGGGCACTGATAAGGTTTGGTCCCAGTGTGAATCCGCTCATGTAAAAGTAAACCTGTCCTACAACTCAGAGACTTCCCACAGATGCTGCAGACGTATTTCTGATTGTCGCGTTCATGAACCTCAAGAAAGGAAAAAGAAAATAAATCAAATACATATTCTGTTTCATCATGACGCTAAGTCTTTGGAAAACCACAACAACAGGATTAGTATTTGTGGCAATTAAATGATGATTATGGATGTCAAAAGTTCACATACAGAGCAGGGGTCTGTATAAATATGTAGTTAAATGTAGTTCAAATCCATGAGTAGCTCTAAAATACTGATAAGCTTTGGTGATATTTTTTGGGCCAATATGTAGGGTAGGTTTTGAATATTTTCCACAAATTATATAAATTAAATTTACTACAAACTCACCCATAGTAATTTCTTCCACAGACTTTTAAGAGAGCTGTGCAGCCACACTTAGTGCAGTTATCGCTTCATATTATTTATATAAAGTTTGTGTGTATTTTTTAGGCAGCAGACCAACCAAAGCAAAATATTGGCCTGTGCTAGAAATTTGGCCAGTAGCCTATAATAAAAAGTCCAAATATAGGTCTATACCTAATTTATTTATGTCTGAATTATGATAATTTATTTTAAGAGTGCCTTTTTCAAAGTAGTTCACACCTGCACACACCACACCAAAACGCAGATCTAAACATGGACTAGACCAGATCTAAACAAAGACCAGGACCAAACCAAGAAGAGTGAATGTATCCATTGATTTTATCACCATTTGGTGACAAAAAACACAGCGTCTGTACAGTGTGGACTCCTCACCTGTTTCTGATGGCGGACCACGTCCTTCTTCCTCTTGAAGCTCTTGGAGCAGGTGCTGCAGATGAACAGCCTCTCGGTGCTGTGCACGTGTCTCTCGTGAGTCTTCAGGTTACTGCGGTTGGCGAAAGTTTGCTGACAAATCTCACAGCGATGGATGATTTCTGATGTCATGCCGTGGTAAGTGCTGGGCAAAAATATTTTAAACTTTAAATGTATTATTACAATCATTTCTGTTTATATTTATAGAGCTATTCTCTAATCTTACAGCTGTAAAAATGTCCTGAAATTTTAATCCTTCCAGAATGATTAAACTAGGAATGCACCAATATGACACTGGTATTGGATAACGGCGTCAATGCTGAACACTTTGATGAACTGGATATCATTTCCAAGATATCAGTCCATTCGATATCTTATCGAATGGACTATTCACCTTATTCTGCCCTGCCCACTCTTGTCTCTAAATCACTTTTGTCCTACATCGCGCTTTATTCTGGTAGCACTTTTGCTTATCCCATTCATGTTGAAAAACATTTTGAGATAAAGTAGGTTTGTTTGTGTAAAATGTGTAAAATGTTCATGTGCACCAACAAAACACACTGCACTGATTCTCTGAGGGGCTTTAAATAGCATTTATAGTAAAGTTATTTTGCAGCAGCCCCACACAAAATAATACAACCCAAGTGATGATAGCAGCATATATTGGTGTAAGAAGACAATTTACTGACCAGTGTTGGTCCAAAACATCACGTATTATTGTTTAATATTATTGTATAATTTTTCAGTGCTGTTATGTAGTTACTTTAAATGATAAATAGCAAGTTAAAAAACACATTTAAGTAATATTTAACCATACTATATAAACACTGGATATTGGCAGATAAAAGCATTGAAATTGGTATCAGAACAGAAAAAGCTGGATCGGTGCATCCCTCGATTAAACATTGTTGCGATAGTGATCAATTAATCAATCAATCAACTGATGGATCCAACTAGCACTTAAGTCATGTACAAATAAATAGTTTAAGGTTTAAGTTTAAGTTTTTCTTACCTTCTGTGTTTTAAAAAGCTCTTCTCATAATGAAACGTTCGCTGACAGTCTGTACACTCAAACTGAGCTTTAGACGTCCATTTGAACACCTCCTCCCCCAGGCTCTCATCTCCTAAAGGCTCCTGCTCCTCAAATCCAGGGAAGAACCCATCATCATCATCATCATCTGCATTTGGAATGTTATCCTTTGGAGTCCACTCTTCATCTGATGGTTCTGCGTCTTTAGGCTTTTTTGGTTTGGTATTTTCAATTTCTGCGTCTCCATTAACTTCTTTTTTGTCTATCTCTTCCTTTTCTGATTCATCAGTCTTTTCAACAACTTTACTTGGTATTCTTAGTTTGAGTGTCTTGTCATATGGGATTGTACTTGTAGTTTTCTCGCTAGTTGGTATGTAATCGCTATCATCTGAATCAAACTTTTTAATTCTTTTTTTTCGTTTAGACCTTCTTGGATTATTCTCATTCTCTTTTTCTGCAGCAGAAGTAGTGGTAGTAGTCGGAGTAATTTCTTTGGACATTTTTTTCAGTTTTCGTGAGGCCTTTACCCTAGTTTCTTCACACAACAAGAACAACTCCTGGCAGTCCAAAAACTTAGCCACTGATTGGATATCAACTAATTCCTTCCAGCTAACTTCAATTTTCCCAGTGTAAATAAACTCCAAAAATTTCGCAAAATCTGTAGTAGCCATGTTGGTGAGTAGAACTTTGTCTTGTATCCAGTGTTCGGACAGGACTATGCTTTTAAAATAGCCACTAGACGCTGCTAACATTAACCGATGGGCTGGGAATTCCTCTGTTTGTCCTTGGAAGTCCACCTTGACCCTAATATCACTGAGATGTCCTTGGAGTCTCAGGTCATTCAAGGAGGAGAGGACGTTATCCGGAAAGGACTGGGACTTCAGCAGGACCACCATTGTTCCTTTACACTGTAGAAGAAAAAGAAAGGAACAATATATTTTAGTAATTTCTGCATTTTATTTTACTTATATACATTTGTAGAATTATGCCTTATGTCTTGCTATTTTTGCTACTTATTTTGAAATGATTATTACCATTTACATTCTTGCTCTTTGTTATTATAATATATTGTGATGTGTGAGCTACTATTTCCAAATAATTTCCCCTTGTGGCCCAATAAACTCTAAGTTATTAAATCTTAATATTTCCTGGTTCTTTGTTGTCATCTTCAGCATCATTTCAGATTATAGCTTTGAACTTTTTCATTAGTGTGGACTAAACCTCCCTGGTTAGCAATTGGATGTGAGATCTCTGGGAATACCAGGAACTAGGAATACCAGGAACACCTGAGGCATTGTGTCCTTGGGCAAGACACTTCACCCACATTGTCAACACTGCAACAATACATCAGTTCAGTGCTAAAATTAGAGGCTAGAGACTTCAACATCACCACCAAGTTTATATTGCATGTATTACTTATTAAAATTTCAAATATAGAACAAAGTACAATACTATTAATTTACTTACAAATAAATGTAACCGATTTTTGTAACCGAATTTTCTCTGCTGTATTGTCAAAATTAGATAATAAACAACATAAATTACTAAAGGTATTTCTGGCTTTACGCAATAACTAGTCATTCTTGAATGTTATTATATTATAAAACATAAATAGACTCAGATAGATAGACTTATTCATTGTGATGATACCACTTTAGTTAGTGCTGTGGTTTTGTATGAGGTCTTTCACTGGGCTCACGATCCCAGCAGCTAACAGTAGCATAACAACAACGATGCACACGGAGAAATGTTTGCAGACTGACCTAACCGCTGCAATTAAATCAGAATAAATTATATAAATGCAAAATATCGTTTTAAAGCAGTGTGGATGTTTACTAGATGCAGAATGCACATCAACTATCTAAAGCGGAGTGAAGTTTTCTTACCGTAACGTCGGTAAAATGGCAGCCTCAACGATCTGTGAACGCGGAGGGTATTTCCTGTACAAGTGCGCAGCGCAATCGACTTCCGGTTTGAGAATTAAAACGGACCCGAGATCAGATTTTTAGGGATTTCGTGGGCACGTTTTTATATTTGATCACAGTCTATGATTTGCATGGTATTTTCCACATTCATTCAAATCATAGACATAGTTTCCAGAGCGTTAACAGTTTTTGGTAAACTAGTAGGTATAAGGTATTTTATTTATGTATTTATGAATTTATTTTGTGTTTGTTTATTTATATCATTTTTCGTTTTTTGTTTTTTAATTAAGAAATCACATTCACAGGGCTCAGCATGTGCAATATCTGCATTATGCATTATGCATTATACAAACGTAGAAAAATAATAAATACATTCACATTTTTTCTTTCAAATTCCATACAAAGTGTTTACATGTTACATGTTTTACATTAAATTGTAAAATTGTGGGTTTGCATAAAGCTTTCTATCTATTCACAGCAAAAAAAAAAAAAAAAAAAAGGTAATAGATTTGAGTGTATGGGCATCCCCAAAACAAATAGGTGACCGTTTTTTGTTTTTTTTTTTTTTTTTGCTTTTAAGTTATAAATGGGAAAAATGTCAAAATCAATTTTAAAAATTTAATTTAATCAATCAATCAATTAATTATTATTATTATTGTTTTTACCGCACTGACAATCATTTTCAAATTATTGCTAAGTAATAACCTTTATTTGGGGTTCTATAAATGGCACAAGTAGCCTTATTATGGTCAACCTAGGCAAACTTTTTGTTGTGTATATGCGTGTACACAACAAAAAAGTGTATATAATTCAGAAAATAGACCCCTAGCTATCTCCTAAATCAGCCAAACATTCAACTAGAAACATGAAAATACAGAAAAAAAGTATCTCTCTTAAAGTAACTTGGGAAAGAATAATCAGTGCAGTATCTTAGTTGTCCACTTGGGGGAGCCATTGGTTAAAAAAAATTATAATGGCATATGCGTTTGATTTATGGAACACTGGTCCTGTGGGAAACCTACATACTGTAAGCTAATATTTCACGTAAACATTGTTATTTTATCATTTCTTTGAAGTTTAATCGACAACACAGCTCATTTCATACGTTTCTAGTCATTTCATCTTACATTGTCTCATGCACTTCTTACTGTCAATCTGTTTTATGTAGGCTAGTAGGTAATCGTGGAAAACAGCAGTGCAAGCTAGCTAATTGAAACTACACATCGAGATTTGGCCTGAAATAGCACGCTAACCCCCGTGTACGTGTCTGGAAAAGCCATTGCGTGCAGCACAGGTCCAGAGGAAATCCATGCACGTTTCATTTGTCTTAATGAATTTTGCACGCTCTCAATCTGCGCCTTTCCGGTGACTCATACTGTTCCCCACAATGAAGCAGACTACAGCTCTCACATGGTACAGTGTGTTCAGTGGCATATTGTGTACTCTTCCTTCTTTATCACACGCAATAATACCAGCTTACTGAACTAAAGATGCACTCTGGAACTTTTTCACCTGCTTGTTTCTATGGATATGTCATTGCTCTGCCTTGAATGTTCCACAGTGTGACATTAAACAGCCCTACCTTACATTTATTCAATTACAGGTGGATTTATAGCTAAAAAATACCTACATAAACTGGTATTCTGACTGTGAGCGGGGTTGCCTCTCCGCAGATCTGACCTGTAACTTGGTTTGGTTTGGTTTCCATGAAGATAAAAAGGTACTGTGTGAATGCTGTACACTGAAACATTCCAGCCAAAGCTAGGGTGACCAGATTTTCGAAGTTAAAAACTGGGACACTTCCGATTTGTGGTGGTTTGTAATAATAAAATTGTGAAACGAGTGTGGAATGAAGGAAAATTGTTCCACACTCAGCCCATTCATGAATAATGGTCATGGTTCATGTTTTGTAGTGGTTGTAGTTTGTGTTTTATTTTGACATTTGTTTTGTCTGCTTGTAGTTCTGAGTTTACTTCCTGATTGTTTGTTGTTGTTGATTGTTTGCCCCGCTCTAATGTGTTTCACCTGTGTCTATGTGCTCTTATACCCTGTGTTCTCCTCTGCCCTTTGTTGGTCCATTGTCTCTGTCCGAGTTTCTCCGTGTCTCTTGTCATGGCAATTTAGTCTTGAGTTTTGGATTTTTTTGATTTGTCATTAAATATTTTGAAGCAGTCCTGCGTTTTGGGTCCTCCCTCTGTTTCCACGTGATAATAACGTCAGTATAGTCTGTGGTCGGAGTCAGTATAGTCACATTTTCTATGTGTTTTGAGCATTTTGAGCAGCTTTTCTGTATTTTACTGAAACAAATGACAATCTCTGCCTCTCTTTACTTGTTGACAGATTTCAGATGGTTCAAAAATAGACCATACACCTGGGACCTTTCTTGCATAAAACTGGGACAAATCACTGGTTTTGGATAAATCTGCTGGGACAGGGGGCACAGGATTCAAAACTGGGACTGTTCCCGGGTAAACAGGGATGTCTGGTCACACTAGACAAAGCAATAATATCTCCACGAAGAAAAGCATGTGACGGACACCTCCACCAGAAAAGTTACGCAATGCACCTTTAAAATAAGCGTGGAATTGGTTTGTAAGCCTCAAAAGTCTAGTTGTGGAAAATTACAATGACGACAGTTTATATTTGTTTTTTAGTAACTAAGAACAAATACCTGAGAGTTGCTTTGAGAGACTTTACCAAACACGACTGAAGAATGAAACCGTGGTGAATAGATGATTAAATATTGATACTTTACGGCTGGTGTAATCAACATTCTCTGGGGGTGCGAAGCTAACTGAAAGCACATCTCTGTTAGAGTTTTTTACAGATTCAACTGTTTTGTTGAAAATTAAACACCTAAACAGAACCATGAACACTTGTATTAATCCAAGACTCCTGTCTTGTGTTGTTTAAATCCATTTTGTGTTTTTTCTTCAGTTTTGAAACACTCTTAAAACTTTTTGTCAGCGTTTATTAAAATGTGCATTTTGTCTCCATGGTAACTGATGGCATGTCTAGAATACCCCAACATGATATCTGTGCCAATAATAATCATATTTTAATCAAAAGTGAGATCCAATCATTTTCTAGCATCCATTATATGTCTCATAGTATCTCTAATCATTTGTAATTGCCAGTAATATAAGCCTATCTTTCAGTTATGAGGGGAAGACAAAGCTACGAGGGCCCATTGTCTCCTCAGAAGCCTAATAAACTGTCTTTTTGAATATTACTTTCCGATTATTGCTTTCATTCATAATAAAATCACTGTATTCTAAGGTTATGGTCCTTGCTAGTGAACCAAGGAAACAGCACCAAATGTGTAATCTATGTGTTTAATTGCTTGAAATCCAAATGCCTCAAATGTCATCTGATACAACAGTGTTCTCAAATTGTGATACAGGTCCCATACTTTTTAGTTCTGGGTTTGTTTTGTTGGTTAAAACATATGGCCTACTTAAAACAGGTGCACATTTAGACCTGGTTTAGTCCCAGTTCAGTGTAGTGTTATCATGTCCTAAAATACTCAATACTCAAACTCAAATACACTCAATACCGATTCTGATACCCAAATGATACTTAAACAACAGTGTAATTGGAATTTAACACAAAATGAAAATATTTGTTTATTACACCATGTGGACTTACTGTACACTTGTTCAAGATGAAGCTGCTCAGGAAAGGTCAAATTTTATCCAGTTATGATTTTTTTGAGTATCAGTACTTACTGAAATGAGCTTCTAGTTTCAATACTAGTTTTAGTTCTGATTAAAAATTCTAACTCGATTTCAACACCAATTTTGATTCCCAGATGATAAAGCTCTTTTTAGACCATATTGTATTTATTTATTGCACCATGTAGTCTTACTCTAGTTAATAACTCAAAAACTCAAGATGAAGCTGCTCAGGAAAGGTCAAATTTTACCGAGTTATGATTTTTTTCAGTATTGATTCTTGCTTAAATCTGGTTGAATCTAGTTTCAACACTAGTTTTGGTATTGATTAGTATGGGCCCTCTCTGATTTTCATTCCTTTTGACAGCCCTGATTCAGTTTCAGTCTGGGTCTAATCTTGAGGTATGTGTTTGTGGTTCATGTCTTTCTCACAGGATGCGGCTGCTGTGTTTAAATGAAGATGGAGTAGAGTTCGGATATGAAGGCTTGTCTCTGTCATCACGGCCTGACACATGTAATCAACGGACATCTGCAGCCTCGCCTACAACAGCACAAGGTCAGACCCTCTTACACATATCCTGTTTTTCATTTAGTTTCTGCTCAGATTAGCCTTTAAACTTCCCAGGAGAGAGATTTGTTTTCCTTATTTTCAAACTCCGCATGGGCATTTTTGCTTAAAGGTCATACATTACACAAAACTGACTCTTCCAAACGTTAAGCCATGTTATAATGCTGTTACCTTATCAAAAACATACCTGGAGTTGTGTTTTGTTTCATTCACACATGTTTGAGTAATTCTTTAATATTACTGTGTCTAAATTTATGTTCTGTTCCACCATGTCATGAAGTGGTAGTTTTCAAGTTAACACCTACCTTTTAGTTCAGTAGAAATTAGCAATTCCAGGGGTAAAATCATCAAAATTATTCTAGTGAAGCTGTATGGAGTTTAAAAACACAGTGCAGCATTTCCAGTATTACCACATGACATCACAAAGTGTTTTCTATTTGAGACAAGAACTCAGCCTACATTTGCAGGGTTAGTGTGTTAAACTATATAACAAAACACAACTGCAGGTCTGTTTGTGATGAGAAAACAACATTATAACATAGATCATAAAGTAGTATACCGTATTTTTTGGAATATAAGTCGCTCCGGAGTATTAGTCGCACCAGCCAAAAAATGTGCAATGAAGAAGAAAAAACATATATAAGTTGCACTGGACTATAAGTCGCACTTTTTGGGGAAATGTATTTTATAAAATTAGAGACCAGGAACCGACATTTCATCTTGAAGGGCAAGTTATAATAATAACAGAACAGAGAACAAGAGGCTGAATAGGTG